CAGTGGTGATATTCAGCGGGTTCGCACAGGTTCGGCCGAACCCGTTGTTAACATTTTCAAAGTTTTCCGAACCTTGTTAAACATATGTAACATTTCTCAATGGTTTGATTCTTTTAAAAATATTAAAATATACGTATTATACTCTGTAACACTACTAAACTAGAGCCTTCCGATGCACTATTTGAGCGAAAAAAAAAATTGTTAAGGAAAAGTTTTCTGTTAGCGAACCCTTTGTTAAATATTTCGAATGTCATCACTGAGGGTATGTCCACAAAATAGAATAGCCATACGTTTTTGTGAATAGTCAAGGCCATTGCCCGAATCAGTGCAAATGTTTGCAACAATCTCAAGGCAGTACTGCCAGATGCAAGGAAATGAAATTTGTTCATTCGAAAAATTACGAATAGGACATAATTCCATATACACTATACAGTACAGTATTATTATCCAGATGATGATTGCTGATCTAAACTAAATTCATAGACCGTTGATAGTTTGGGGGTTGTCTTATAGGACAGATATATGTGAAAACTATAAAATTTAAAAAGGGGGTATAAATTTTTGTTGATCTGAAGGTCATCTTATCTGCGGAAATATACAGCATATATTTTCCTATAAAACTTTGTTCTATGTATCATATAAAAATAATTTATGATTTGTAAACATTTTTTTAAAATCAAACTTAGAATGAATATTTAAAAAAGAAAGCATTTATTAAATATTCTATTTATAACTCAAAACAAGCTTTCGTAACCTGTAAGTAACTTTAAACATAAACAAGATGTAACATAATATAAGCTGTTTATACTTTAATAGATAATAAAATTTGGATATGGCATTGCTTTTATAGATAGCTAGAAGTGTTTATACTGTATACATCTTGGTTTCTCTAAAACCTTATATAATATATTGTATGTGTGTTGTTTTATATATATATACAGTATATATATATGTTATTGATAGTGGTTATTATATATAATGTCCAATAAATGTGATTGAATATAGAAAAATAATATTTTGACATTAACAAAAAATGTAACAAAAATTACTCCATTGAAAATCCAAAAGAATAAGAATTTACTTTGTTCAGATCTTAGAATCTTAAAACAAGGTATAGTACTTCACATTGTATTAATTTAGAAAAATGTTATCTTTTTGAAATTAACTATATATATATTTATAATCAATACAATATTATAACAGACTAATTATTATTTACATTTTTTATTCATCATTATTATTATCATTCACTCATTCATTCCATGTGATTACCTCATCATAGTAAAGATCATTTTCTAACAAATCTCTACATAGAAAGTACATAAGAATTTAAATTATTATTCTAAACAAATAATTGTTAAACTTCATGTTATTCACATAAACCAATAATTTACTTAGAATAATTTGATATTTATTAGTGCAATAATTCAAATTATTGCACTATTAAAAATAATAAGTAAAATATTTTAGAGCCTTTAAAGGAAAAAATTTTGTATATATTATTATTATATGTATTAAATTAATATACATAACATTAAAAAAAATCAATTTTTCTATGCAATATGAAATTCCAAAAAGTAAAGTATAATATACTAGTGGTTTATAACATAATTGTAATGCATGTTAATTAATAATGTTAAAATCACTCAGATCTTTGCAATCTGATTGAAAAATGTTTGTGCCAATTAGAGTATGTAGCAATATCTCCCATTTTAAAAATGTTGGAATTTTTCATTGCTTGATGACATTTTAGATAATTTTGTTTTTTAAAATTATTTTTAAAGCATCAGATAATAATGAAAAAATGTATGATTTTCTTCATATATTTCATACTGTTTATATGCTTTGGTTTCACATTACAAATACTTTTTTTGTTGAACATGTTGTACACCTGTAAGAAATATTTCTTTGTGAAGACAGAAATAACTTTGAATATGACTCAAAAGCAAGCTTTTCTTAGACTGCGTGGATGGCTTATGTAAGCATATTCATTTGCTACAGACACAGCATGTAATAACTTTATTTTTTGTCCCATCAGCTTTAAAATAACAAAAACAAATAAATTAACTAAATTTTAAATACTTTATATTTATTTAAAATGAAAAGTAACGTTTTAATAATTAACAATTTTTACCTTCTTTTGATGGAAGTGGATTTTTTTCCTGCATTAAAGCACGATTCATTTTTCCTACGTCAAAACTAGTGAGTTCATTTTTCATGGCATTTGGTATTTTAGGCAAATCTTCCTTCGTTGGGCTAGACATTATTTTTTAGATATGTGATATTCTGCAAATAAATAATAATTCATTAAGTTAAATGCCATTTATTCTACATATTAATGAAATTTTAAAAAATGAACTTAATAAACTTTTTCCTATATTATATGGCCTAAATTTAAGAAAAGTATTGATTCTTTAAATAAGATTTAAGGGAAAAAAAAACCAAATTTTAAAAAGATAAAATTGTTAATCTTTAAAATGAAATTATATAAAAGCAGTCTTATGAAAATATAAATATTTTATTTTAATAAAAAAAATTAATCAAATTATAATTTTAAAAAAGAATTTTAAATTTGGAAGAAGCTTTAATATACATACACAATGAAGCATTGATTATCCAAAAAAAAAAAAAAAAAATNTAAATAATTCAAAAAAATAAAATAATTTCTAATCGTCATAACATTTATTATCGTTTCCGCACGGACTTATTAAAACAACGGGGAAAAAATAATTATATATATATACAGTAATTAATATAACCAATTTTTTATTATTTAAATTCTTAACAAAGAAACGAAACGGATCGATCATTTGAAAAATATAAGTAACTTTAAATGGTAATGAGAATGAAAATGATTATTACGAAACAGATTAAGAGCCATGCAATATGTTAAATGTATATATATAAAAGTATTTATGGAAATCGAACGAATAATCTAATTATAAATATTTCGATCGTCACCCCTGCTGATTCACCAAACCAGATATGCACCAAAAATAGTCAGACATTAACGACAGATGGTATTATCCTATTAGTCATTATTGAAAAGCATTCGGGAAGCAAATAAATATGATGATATTTATATATTTTAAAACAGTTCTATAGGAGGAAAAAAACACCATATATTTAAAGCAGAATTTTATATTTTTACGCTCTTTAATATATATTTTCTTATACCGTAAAAATTTTTTAAAATGAAGAAAAATTAAAGAAAAACAACAAAATTCATCTTTCTTTTTTAAAATAAGTGTATTAAATACGTCTAGCTTCTTTTCTGAAGTGATAAAATGGCGGCTGAATTTCGAAGTGAAGTATTCACGGCCATCACAATGAGTCCAGTGACTCACGTTACGACCTTAATATCGATTAGTTTGGAGCATCCACCTAAGTTGATGTACGTTACGTGCCAACAGTTTTCTATTAATAATGGCTTACGCTCCATTCAAAATTTAAGTGAAATATATTACGCACAATTACCGAATACTTCTATTATTTCTGCAAATTTGATAAACTTGATTTATTAACATTATGTTGTTTCATATTAAAAATACACCAGAGATGAGAAAAAAAAAATTATTCCAATAATAGAAAATTTTGGATTAAAAATCTTTGACAAAGAAGATCTCTAACAAAGAAGAAGAAAAATATTTAACGCTAACGCTCCGAAGATATTCCGAAGCGTTAAATATTTAAATGCGCTTATTCCAAGTAAACGAGAGATATGTTTACGCTGTATTAATTAAAATACTGTATATTTAATTAATTAGGAACGTTTACTTCTGCAGAATGTGAAAGTTTAGATTAATATTTTTCTACTCCCCGAAAGCGGGAGTGGGCCCCAAACGAAACCATTACAGCTTCTGGGTAGGTAACATCGATTTCCCATTTTTCCTTTTTATCTTTTCACTCTAACACCTTAACAATGTAAAAGTTTCGAATTAATAATGAAAAGTTTGAATAAAAAAAAATTTATATAGAAATGTTAATGTAAAGAACATATCACTTTTTAATTAACTAACTATATTCCTTTGAAATCAATTATTATTTCCTAACTTGTAAAATGTCTATCATTAGAAAATGATCCTAATAGCATTTGTGATAAGAATTTATCAAATGAAACCCATTAATTCTAAGAAGAAATAGAAATAAGATTTTTCCAAGTATAATGCATCATCTATATGTAGATGCAACGCACTATGGAAGATGTCTTTAATAAGTCCAAACCAGTTCGACTTGTTCAATGATAAGAAAGATAAGGCAGTCCTGTCAGGAGGAAAAAAGAAAGTTATTAGTCAGCTTTGGAATTCGTCACATAATCGGAAAACCTCATTACATTTTGATCAAAAATTAATGAAGATTGTTTATCAACAACTTAAAAATTTTTCTCTTATCAATAAATAATTCAAAAAAATAAAATAATTTCTAATCGTCATAACATTTATTATCGTTTCCGCACGGACTTATTAAAACAACGGGGAAAAAATAATTATATATATATACAGTAATTAATATAACCAATTTTTTATTATTTAAATTCTTAACAAAGAAACGAAACGGATCGATCATTTGAAAAATATAAGTAACTTTAAATGGTAATGAGAATGAAAATGATTATTACGAAACAGATTAAGAGCCATGCAATATGTTAAATGTATATATATAAAAGTATTTATGGAAATCGAACGAATAATCTAATTATAAATATTTCGATCGTCACCCCTGCTGATTCACCAAACCAGATATGCACCAAAAATAGTCAGACATTAACGACAGATGGTATTATCCTATTAGTCATTATTGAAAAGCATTCGGGAAGCAAATAAATATGATGATATTTATATATTTTAAAACAGTTCTATAGGAGGAAAAAAACACCATATATTTAAAGCAGAATTTTATATTTTTACGCTCTTTAATATATATTTTCTTATACCGTAAAAATTTTTTAAAATGAAGAAAAATTAAAGAAAAACAACAAAATTCATCTTTCTTTTTTAAAATAAGTGTATTAAATACGTCTAGCTTCTTTTCTGAAGTGATAAAATGGCGGCTGAATTTCGAAGTGAAGTATTCACGGCCATCACAATGAGTCCAGTGACTCACGTTACGACCTTAATATCGATTAGTTTGGAGCATCCACCTAAGTTGATGTACGTTACGTGCCAACAGTTTTCTATTAATAATGGCTTACGCTCCATTCAAAATTTAAGTGAAATATATTACGCACAATTACCGAATACTTCTATTATTTCTGCAAATTTGATAAACTTGATTTATTAACATTATGTTGTTTCATATTAAAAATACACCAGAGATGAGAAAAAAAAATTTATTCCAATAATAGAAAATTTTGGATTAAAAATCTTTGACAAAGAAGATCTCTAACAAAGAAGAAGAAAAATATTTAACGCTAACGCTCCGAAGATATTCCGAAGCGTTAAATATTTAAATGCGCTTATTCCAAGTAAACGAGAGATATGTTTACGCTGTATTAATTAAAATACTGTATATTTAATTAATTAGGAACGTTTACTTCTGCAGAATGTGAAAGTTTAGATTAATATTTTTCTACTCCCCGAAAGCGGGAGTGGGCCCCAAACGAAACCATTACAGCTTCTGGGTAGGTAACATCGATTTCCCATTTTTCCTTTTTATCTTTTCACTCTAACACCTTAACAATGTAAAAGTTTCGAATTAATAATGAAAAGTTTGAATAAAAAAAAATTTTATATAGGTTATATACATATTTAATAAATAAATTTATGTAAAGATGAATTGAAAAAGTTAGGTATATTTTAATTTTTAAGAAAAATAAATTTTAAAAATTCTTGCGTCACTTAAAAAAAAAAAGTCGTAAATGTTTACATCTTACCTTAGTAGACAACTCGAGTTTGAAGTTTTATCTTCGAGTAACCGAAGAGAAAAATCCTAGTATAGAATGTTGGAAGGAACCGATTTTAACGTCACACTACAGTCGGAGTCTCACGCTATACGTCAGCTTCAGGAGACAGGACGGTTCATTTTATAGGAGGTAGGAGAGAAAATTAAAGGAGACGAAACGTCACGTTCAATCTACTGTTTCGCTCGCACACACCAGAAAATATTGCGCTTTTAATAAAATAAATATATATATTTTTTTCTACCTTTATATGCGCATTTATAACAAAGCGATTAGTATTATTCAAATAGATGGGTCAACGGATTTTTCTCTGATTCATCCCATCGAACCGATTCTAGGAAGATAACTTCGCCATTATGTTTCCAGATAAACGATAAATTTCACCTCTTTTTTTTTTTTTAAATTTCTTGAGCTCATTTAATACTTTTTACCGTGATCGCAAAGAATGAAGAGTATCGTGGATAGTAAATCATATTTATGGAATCTGCAGGATTATCATATAATCGATTTATCGAGAAAATTGAATTACACGCGAGATGATCATATACAATCATACTTAATCGAGAGAATGGAAATTTATTAAACTTATCTTTAATATAATAAATGTTTCGTTGGTTTAATTGAAGTTAAAAAGAAAATAATGTAGTGTATACGTTTCCGTAAAAGAGGAAATATTTAGATTTCGTTTCGTCTTCGTCAGTCTTCCATTGAAACGAACAGGAAGAATAGGGTGATTGGGGAAAAAAGGAACAACAAGCAGACCGAAACGTTCCTCCGTAACTAAGAATGATTTCCTTGTCACGTCGTCAGACGATGTCATTAATGATCCGTGAGAAAAAAAAGAAAAGGCAAATCTGTGAGAATTATAACCAAAATATAACTTAAACAAATAAAAATATCACATTTTGTTTATTTTCGTTCATTTTTTTTTTCTTTTTTTAGAAAGTCCAACTATTTAAGATTTAATTTAATTAGAAAAACGAATATTTTTTAATTTTAGGAAAAGTCTTGAATACGAATATTTTCCGGTGAATAATTTAAGAAGGAAGATCGTTAATGGTATTAAAATGCTATCATTTTATTGATGCTGTTACACTTTAATTGACATACTGTATAAATGCATTTAAATCAAGCTACTTCCTATCAGTTTTTTTTTCTTTTGTTTTGGTTATAAGTAGCTTGGGAGTAATTGAATCGTTAATTAAACTTAATTACATTACAAATTAATGTTGTGATGTTCGTATTTTTCATTTTAACGCTTCTACATTACATTTATACCCAAATTTTTATTAAAAAAAATAATATTAAAAACTTTTATTTAATATTATACTTAATATAATAATTAACTTTCTTCAAATAGTAATACTGTATTAAACTTTGTGTATAAGCAATAGAAATTTAAAATTGGTATTACGTGAAATGATTGAATTTTAATTTTTTAATGCAATATGTAGTTATTATGAAATAATATTTTGATAATATTTTCAAATTTTCTAATAGCTATTATGTATATCAAGCGCCTATGTATGTCTATGCCTATGCATGCCTATGTTACAAGCACCCGGGCCTCCGAGAGCTTGTAAGGGGCCCGGGAGTAGAGCGGGTCCCTTTTGTCTCTTTTTTTTTTGAATAAATGAAATAAGTAAAATATTTATAAATAAAAAGTCTCAAAAACTTTTCTGTTATTAAAAATAACATTAATTTATAGGTATAAGAACCATTATGAGTCCTTAACTTTTCTCTGGAACAGGGAAAAATCTCCAGTTTCCCTCCCTGTCTACGGCCCTGTGTACAGATAATGTTTCTAATCCTTAAAATATTATTTTATTAATATTAGTATATTGTAACTATAATCTATAAACAGGACTTATTATACGATTTAACTTGTGGATGAAATTAGAGCCTATGAATCAGTCTTTTTAATTTCATCCACAAGTTAAGTCAGTAATTTATAACAACTTTCATTAATAGATTATAGTCATAATAGATGAATATTAATAAAATATAATTAATTTTAAAATTTAATATATATTTTTTGTCTTTATTATTCAGTTTAGTAACGAAATTTATATTAAAAAAAATTGAAGAGGAAGAAGGAAAGACAGATAAGACAACAAAACATCCTTTCTGCCAACGTATCATTAGTTCAAAGTTTAGAAAAACTCACGATTTTTAATAAAATTATTAATTTATTGCATTAAAAAATAAATTTAAAATTATTTTCTAATGTAATAAATAAACTTAGAAATTTTTACACAAATTTCTAAGTTTATTTATTACTATTATTCCTCAGATTGTACTATATTGTAGGCTACATGTTAAAACCAGAATATATATATTACAAACAATATTTTATATCTATTTACATTAATACAGTGTTTTTATATACAAATTAATCTGGTTTATTATAGCGAAGGTTATAATGTTATCTGTAGAAAATTATCAATTTAACTTTCGTTTCATCAAAGAGATAACGTCCGGTCCATATCACTTTTAATAGCTATTTGAATACGTATATTATTTATATATGTAATAAGTTTAAATAAAATGATTTATATCCTATTAAGGTTACACCTCAACGACATTCCGACGTCGGTCTTGTAGCTTATTCGTATGACACCACGCAAGTTTATCAAGTGTCGAATTGGATAGAAATTCTTACGCCATGAATCAAGTCACGGTCAGGTAGAACAGATAGGACAGACAATACGTTTCTTCTATTTTTAAGGCGATATGAGGAAGATATTCCAAGGTTACGTATAGTTAACATTTTTCGTGATTGCTTTGGCATATCCAAACTCAGTAGACATTGAAGTAGATAGTTTAAGCGCTTGACTGTATTTTTACCCGATAACGTTTCGAGATGATTGACCTTTTGTAATGAAAAAGATATATTATATACGTATCTACGTATATACTCACACAACTATATTTTGTAATACATTACTCATAATTTATATCTAAATAAAGTTTTGGCAACGTTTAGAACTACTGAATGACGAATTATTTACGACGTTAACGAAAATTACAACGAGAACATTTAATGTAGAAATAACTGTTTTCCTTATTAAATGTAATTATTTGACTATTTTTTTTAATATTACGCAAATATTAAACTCTAAAAAGAATTTTTTTATAAATATAATAAAGTATTAGCATCAAGTTGATTTATTTTATTGATTAAAATGAATATTACTTCCATACAATACTTTCTATATTTATCGAGGATTAATTGCTGATAATTTTGTGAATTATTTGTAAAATTTTAAAATGTTAGCACTATTCTTTTTTATTTTTATTTTAAACTTAATCATACTTCTTATAAATGAAAATTGTTATATCAATTTGAGTGGATCGTATATAAAAACCATTTTTAAGAGCATTATCATAAAATAACGATTCTGAAATAAATTATTGTACGAAAGATGGTAGTGAATTACGAAATATTCTTGTTCTGGCTTAGAATTGAGGGTTAATAACATTCTGTTTTGCTCAGACTGCCGTTACTGTCCTTCAAATTCCTACTATGATACTGCGACATTTTCAAGGTTGCCATCAATAAAATTCATCAAAATTATCTATTTTTATTATTAAATAACTTAAGGTATAGACCTACTTCTATGTGTTTAATTTAATTAGTTTTTCTCCAAAGAAATAATTAAATAAAATCTATAATGAAGATATTTTAAACAAAATTTACAAATTTACAATTTGCATTTTTTTAATATTTTTGTTGAATATTTTAATTTCTTTATAAAGTTATCAAAATTTCAAAGCTTTTTATTTTAACAGATGTATTTATATAGACTATGAATAATACCTTTTTGAAAAGAAATGATCTTAATTTAGTATTCTAAATTCATCTAATTAAGACTTTTTATTATTTTATATTCGAAATTACGTAGCTAAGATAAAGAATTTTATCTTTAATTTCTATTCAATTTTTAATTAAAGGCGCCTGTTTTGAATCGGGCAGATTTGATTTATTAATGTAAAGCACTAACACATTATAGATTATATATGTTATCTAGCAGAGAGAAAGGAAAACGACATCTCATCTGAGCTCCCTTAAAGATTCTTCAGGATCCGAATCAAATTAAAATCTAGATCGTTCACGACAATAGATTATTATTTTACTGAGCAAAAATCAGTCATCATTCTTACTTATTTTATAAAATTATTACAGAAATCAGGCCTAATTTCTCCTCAATTAAAAATCAAAAAATGCCTTTTGATCCGCGACGAGTTAGTACGTGACGTTATGTAGTAGTGCAGTATATTACTCTTTTATTTATGAAATCGGTAAGAAAGTTGTTATGCATGGATAAGTGATATAAACTTTATATCATTTGGGATGTACCGTGACAAAAAGATTTTTATCTCTCTCGAAAAGGTGAAAGTCAACAGTCAAAGATCTTTTGGAGAATTTAGAAATTGACATGAAGTTGCACTTTAGAGATCATAGAATTTTTCTTTTATTTTGACAAGCAAAAACTGGTCTTGTCTTTTTCATTTGAATCATTATGGTTTATTTTGTCTTTAGTTTTGTTCTTAATTTATTTAGTTGTCTTCAGTCTTGTAGCCAGAAATAAATCATGGGGAGACTAGTTTAATGAGGGGCAAGCTGAAAAAATTGTATAAATCTATAAATAGGCTGGTATTAGCAAGATTACCTACATGAACACCTTCAACTTTATAATTCTAATTTTCCACTTTTTCAAGCTTAGTGTGGGTGATTATTATTATTATTAATTTAATCTATTATGTATAGGTTTACATTATCTGCTATGCAAGGGGCAAGGGTTGGACATATAATAAAAGATTAAGATGTAAACACGGCACATAGAAAACAAGGTTGTGCCAAATGACTGATATTTTTCTTTTTAAGTCAGTCCTATTAGCTAGTTCACGTGTAAAAAAAACTAACATTAGCTAAAGTTTACGCGATGAAAGCGAAAATGTATATTATATGTGCTGCATATGGGTACTGCTGCACTAAGCTGGGGCTATTATATTTTTTTAGTAGGCTTAACCATCGTCAGTTCTAGATCTTGCCTTGGGGTTGTTCTTTTTAGAAATCATTTAACTTCTTAGTTTTGTGTGGTTTTCTTTATATTAGACTAGATGATTTGACGCCCGAATGCGCCAAATCATCTAGTCTGATATTTTTCTTATTCTTGATACTTTTCTCACTTATTCTTGATTCTTGTTAGTGCACTTAAAACAGAGATTCCAATCCATTTTTCTGCTCTTCAAGGAAATAAAACTGGTTGATTGTAAAATTAACAATACACTTTTGTTGTATTAATTTTTATAAATTATGAAAATTAATTTGTATATAACAGTGAAAACCATTCTTAAAATTCGTGTTCATAACAAAAATAAACATTCTAACAGATATATCAAATAAATCAATGGAATAATGACCATAATGACTATAATGTAATTTATACAACTTTTAAAGTAATGACCATTTTTATTTTACTTTAAACTTTACAAATTATATAATTATATTAATTACTACGAACTACATTCAGGGCTGGCGTAAGCTGTTATATGATATGCAAGATAGAAATGAAAGATGCCAAAGAAATCAAAATTCCAAAATGAAAATTCTGTATTAAAAATTATCACATAAGTACTCATGAACTTGTTGCATGTGAAAATAAGCTTTTATTTACATGTATAATGTAACCGTCATATTTAATAAGCAATTGCAGAGGTTGCTATTTACCCTTACACCAGTCTTAGGCCCTGTACACACTAGGCGTTTTTCAACGCGCGTTAAACGCGCGCTTTTAAACGCGCGTTTTAAAGAACCAAGAGTTCTATGTAGCCATACACACTCAAACGCCAAGCGCGCGTTAAACGCGCTTTTATAGATTTTTGTTAAAACGCGCGTTTTGCGGGCACTTTACGGGCGCTTTGAGATGTATGTGCTGCCTTATAGCGACGATGGAGGAGCACACACAATCAATTACTTTCTCGTCCATTTCCAAACTGAGCCAGTGCTAAACGCCGAACTAACGCTCGTCGAACGCCGAGCTAACGCGCGTTAGCTCGGCGTTAAACGCGCGTTGAAAAACGCCTAGTGTGTACAGGGTCTTAATCTTGTTTTAAATTGTAACATAAACGTCAAGCTTTTCATATTTATGTTACAATTTATAATATTACTTCAATTATATTGTTTTTGTGTATTCAATAATTGTAAATAAAAATAATTAATAAACAGCGTTAAGAAAAAAGAAAAATCTTGTAAAACGTGGAACAATTTTAATATCTTTAAAAGAATAATTTAATTTAAAATACGCAAATTATTATATACAGTAAGTACTGAAAATTCATTATCAACTTCAAAGTAGAGAAAAATATTCGTACAAAAATATGAACTTCACACAATTAATTTTTGATAGTATTATTTTATTTTCTTTCTTATCAGAATATTTGTTCGTTACAAATATCAGAACAAAAAGAAATTAAGAATAGAAATCGCTACAGAAATGAAAGAAATGTGAATGTAAAAGAAAAACTCAAAATTAAAACCCGTGACCATGATTGTACACTGATGCAAAATTTCAAAAAGTGCTTATTCTACAAGTAATTTTTTTAACCTTTAACTTCTGGGCAAATACTTTCTAAATAGTCCTCTTTCATACTTTCTTCAACTACAGTTTCATGTTATACAGGTGTTTGTAAAATAAAGGAATCCGGATTGCATATATCAAAAAGTTACCTTTAAAGAATCCGTCCTTTTTTAAATTTTGCTTAGAAATCAAACAGCGGATAATTCCTCAAAACAAATCCAAGTCTCCGTTTTTATAGTATTTCCGTAATAATTATGCTGCTTGATGTCCGAAAAGAAGATTGGAAATAGAAACTATCAATACATTGAGAAAAAGATGGGATATTTTGGATAAACACACAAAAAATAATTACATAAACTTAACTAATAACGAATGGAGTAATACTTGAAAGGTAACGAGATCATCTTTCTGAGTCCAATCTTGCCAAGATTTTTAAATACGAATCAGGAGTACGTTTATTTTAAAAACTTTTATCGCTTTTCATCTTATTTTGCATTTTAAAAATTTACACTTTCGCACGAGAGATAGAAAAATGCTGAGTTAAAAACATAAAATCGTCAAGAATTCGGTGGTGAAATGGAACCAAATGAAGAAAAACGATATATAAGAAATAAAAAATATCTGGGGGTCATCTTTTGACCGATCCGCATACTTTCCTTCTGCTATACATAACAGCCGGGAAAGTAAAGAACAAGAAAGAACGGCAACTTCGGTGGAAAGAATTGAATCATTAATCTAAAAACGATTTTACAAAACGTAAAATAAGATATTTCGACCCTGATAAGAAAACTACACAAATCTATAGTAAAAATTAGACAATTTTAGATGAATTAATGTCATTTAACACAGTGTTTCTTAACAAGGGGGCTGCGGCCCCCTAGGGGTCCGTAAGAAGTTTGCCGGGGGCCGCCAAATTATGCAAAATTTCCTTCAGAATATAATAAAAAGAAAATTGATGTATAACCGAATATCGTATTAGAAAAGTGAAATAAGATAGATAAAGTTATCGTATTTAGTTTTTTTTAATTTATTTCTTATTTTTTCCTACATACAACTTTGTTAGTACAGAAGAAATAAATGCAAATATGCTACTTACACCGCAGTATTTACTTCTTTTATTCCAAAGTAATTCTAAGAAACTATTAATGCTTGGAATTTTAAAAATAAAGCAATAATAAAAAAATCAATTTATTATAGATAATTTAACAAATATAAATTATTATTAAAAAATGGATGTCACAAAAAAAATTATGAAATATTTGGTGGGTCGCGAGTATAAAAAGGTTAAGAACCACTGATTTAACATACTAAAATCACACTTAAAACTGAATGCAATTTTAAATGAAATGAGAATGATTGAACATATAGACATCGCTGGAAAATGTCATTCGAGAACCTACTTCCTATTATTTTAAATGGAAAAAATTATAATGAGTAACAACATCAATCAAAAACTCCTAAATATTAATAGTATCCGTTTACGCAAACTAAAACACAAGACAACGCCTAAATATAACTTACAAAGTATCATAATAGGATATAAAATACTTAATTTATCTCTTTTTACGATACGAAACAAATGATACAGCAATAGATGCATTTCCTTTAGCCTATATATAAAAATTATTTGAATAAAATAATATAATCAATTAATAACGGAATTATTCAAAATCGAAACCCGATTACTAGTAAATTTCTCGAATGAAATGTTATTTATTAATATGTAAATTTTCGACTATCTTCTATTATCAGGACTTATTATACTGGTTTTACAGATAATATTACAAAGATTAACAGAAAACAATTTTTATTTTATTTCTGTTAATCTTTGTAATATTATCTGTAAAACCAGTATAATAAGTCCTGATAATAGAAGATAGTCGAATTTATAGTCGAAAATTTACATATTAATAAGGAAAAAAGGACATTGAGGCAATTTAATTATTGAAATGTTATTTAACTTAATTTTGAAAAAAAAACTATTCGCATATGTTTCATAATTCGTGAATGTTTATGCTCGGTTACCACACTATTCAATGAGGAATTTATGAAACTCAAAGTAGAAAAGCTCTTTAGTACTGTATTATCCTTCATACAAAAGGTAATTGTGGCAATGTAGGCTACAACAGCTTTTGTGTTCAGTTTAATTAATACAGATATCAGCAAAATCCAGTCGAACTTTCTTTAACATATCATATTCAACTTTGCAGTCTTCAGTTCTTTAGATCCCTATTGCGCCATCTAGTTCGAAATATTGATAATTAATCTATATATTTTCATGAGGCATTTGTAGTGTGATATTGCATCAGTGAGTCCAATAGAACTATTTTTTCTTATTTTTATTGTTTTTGTTTTAATTAATTTATTTTTGCAACGCTTCAATTTCACACTGTTTTCTGGAAAATTATAAAAATTACTTTTGCTTGTGAGATTAAAAAAAAATCATTCTACATCGCTAGCCAGTGTCCCATAAATTTTTTAATAATTGCCCCAACTTCTTGAAAAACTGTGGCTTCAATCATTTCTCTACAGAACTATCGCATTGCTTTCTACTTTGCACACTTCTCTCCCACAAGTGATCGAATATTGTCGGGATATCTTCTCAGAACTATCCTCGTGTCACTGCAGCTAAATAAATAAACAGCAAAAGAGAACATTTTATAAATATATTAAGCAGAAAATATGATAATTTGTACATCATATCAATGATCATATTTACTTTTATTGACTTAAAAATTTAGAGAAATAAGAAGACAACTAGTAAGCATCTTACTTGTTGATCGCGTTTTCGACGCTGATGGAATTGTTCTTTCTTGTTTTATATTTTATTTTATATTTAAATTTTAAAATATAAAATTTTTTTTCTATAGTCCTTCGCGAAGTATATCATATATATATATATATAGTTATATAAATCTGAAAATACACAAATTGAAAATTCAGAACATTAATATTTTAGAATAACTTATATCACTCTCTACTCTTAAACATGCCTTCATTTGTGCACGTGTACTTTTAATTACTATTGGATACTTTTAAAGATAACTGTTTTGTGAAAAAAAATTATTCACATTATAATTTAGGTTGAAGTTTACCTTCGTAGTCTCAATGGCCGCGCTTCGATTACCTTAGGTTGGTTGGATTAGGTTAACTACATTTTTAGTAGACGTTTCCTTTTTTCTTTTTAGGTATTCCTTTCTTCTGTCTACTAAAAATGTAGTTAACTTAACCTAACCAACCTAAGGTAACAGAAGCGCGGCCATTGGGACTACCAAGGAAAACTTCAACCATAAGTTATAGTTAACAGGTTTAATCTTCTGGCTTCTCACGAGGAGGTCCACATGGCTGGAGCATCTTTTCGGTAATATTAAATCTGATTCTTGCTTTGGCTTCGTTTTCGGCAATGCTGAACAGATTGAGTAAATCGAAATGGCCTATACACGACGCTCCACTGTCTCTATGTTGATTCACTACCCACTCGAATCTTCCACTGTCTGCATGGCCCGTACCGATGTACTTCGACTGTAAATGTTCTAGTTGACTATGTATGTTGTATCTGTCACCCATTTTCGAACGTTGACGTCGCAAAACACACACACACACACACACACACACACAATCACGTGGAAAGAAAGCAAAACGCTCAAATTTACAATGTAACAAATTGACGGTGATTGCACGATTACATCGGCGTTGAATCTATTATTCGCCCATTATTAGCCAAAACTTAAATATAAATTTTATATATATTAAAAATTAATTAAAATTTTACAGAAAAAAAAGGATTTATTATTATTAAAACTTTACAAAGAAATAAAAAAATAAAAAAATCTGTTTAATTATTATATAAATAATATTCCACATTAAATGCTCATGTGAATAAGAATTATCAATAATGTAAGATAAATTAATTTTTATAAATAGTATTAGTGTTTAAATGAATGGCTATGCTTTTTTTACTCTTTCTGCTCTGTTGCCTGTAATATGGTCTTTTTATCAAACCCATTATGAGTTCGTCTAAGTTTACAAAGGAACGACTGGATCAGTGCCATCATCCGGCTCTCCATATCCGGAACAGACCTCCCATAAAAGAATTTCTAGGACTTCTCGCCAGATTCGATCCCAGGCAGTGGCGAATTAACTATCACCCGGCCTGTAGACTGGGCTTTAATAAAGTTCCTTTTATCTTTGCATACATTCTACCATTAATTGAATAAAGTGACGTTAAGTTACGTTAAATAACGTATCGTTGCAACAACATATCAATTAAAGCATTTGTTTATTTTTTCTTTTATTTTTGACCTCAGGCTTCCCTTCCGAGTCCTAGGCTAAAGCCTATTTAGCCTAATAATTAATCCACCATCGATTCCAGCTCTCTCAGAGTGGTAGACTAATTAATCACCTTCATAAACACAATATCACATCTAGCAAAAGTATTTATGTATAATTTTAAATATAAAAAACAATGGTACTAACTCTATCTTTATAATTTTTTGCTTTATTTTTGACTCTTCTCACATTGTGTACACTAAAAGAGCTTTTTTGCCTATCATAGTTTATTCAGATTCATAATGAGGAGGCCGAGTTTTGAGGGACGGGACCCAACATATCCGAGATGAAACAAACCCGAGAAATTTCTGGTGTTTTTCAACTGCTCGGGTTCGTTCACGGGTCAAAGTGACAAGCTGGCATTTTCAATGTACAATAAAATAATAAAGATTCATTTTATTTATTAATAAAAAAATTTCATAAATTCGAAATTTCCATAGATTACATTACAATTTTATTTATTTTGAAATATTGCAATGTTTGGTATTTTCTGGATTGTATTATTAATTATAGTTTTAAATCGCTATTGAAACTATTTTAAAAATAAGTGCACCGCCAACAAAGATTTCACGAGCCTCCGTTGCCACCGCCATCAATAATAAATTAATACACCGCTGCCGTTGATAAAATTACATTTGTGAAGATCTCGAAACGGTACACGCATTCACATACTATTTCATAATTGACTCTCAACGTGAGAATAGAAAACAATTTCATAATTGAAGGGCGAAGGAGAAAACAAGGAATGCCACAAATTCTTTATTTTGAGATATTTAAATTTTAATTATTAACATCCTAATAACCTTTAAATTAGTGCATCTAAATATAAAGAAATTATATTGTATTATAATATAAAGATATTCTTTAATAATTAGAAACAAATGTTATGCTTATATTCACAGACCAAAGAAAAAAGTAAAAAATTTGTACAAATGCAAATAAAAACTGTAAAAATTAATGAATATCACATAATGTTTTACAATTCTTCCAGTTCTTGTCTTTTTTTTGAAGTGTCATCGTTTTTGTCGTCACAAATTACACGTTTTTGGCATGTTATAAATGTTATCGGAAGACATTGTTTATAATATTATTATGATTTATTTATTACAGTATAACCCTATTGTCCGTTGGCCTCTTTGTGCTCTCTGAGCGGTAAGGGGCCTAAAACCACAAAAAAACCCCTATTGCCCGAGGTAATGTAGACTGACACTACCACGGATAATCAAAAACAAAGTCAAAACAGGTGGTATGGCCATTTTGGATTAAAAATTACGAATATAGAAGCTTTATATGGAAGCACTTTTAAAACTCTTTTTAAACATTAATGAATTTAATCATATATAACAACAATTTTTACATCAGAATAAAAAAATGTACATTATTGCAGTTACTTTTGAATATGATTGATTTGTTTCGTATAGAAATATTGATAAAAGGCAACAAAAACAAATCATTCTGTAATATGTTATCGTTTTAAACTTTCTTTTGTGAATTACAGTATAAGAAAAGTAATGTACAGTATTCATTTACAGGTTAGTCTCAGATAATGCTGAATCTCAGATAATCAGGATTCTACTACACTACAATCAGGGCCTAATTTGGCACAAGGCAGGCAAGGCACTTGCCCAGGGCCCGTAATTAATTGGGGCCCGTAATAAGTTCTAAACGTGCCATTGTTTTCTTAATATTGCGAATTACTATGTTATTAGCGCCATATTCAAGGATTAATAATTAAGAATGAATTAGCTACTGCTCTGACATCTAACATCACTGAGAATTAGATAATATTTGTATATGCGTTTGGTGAAGTTCAGAATAAAGCAGTGTTTGTTGAGAAGAATATAATGTTTATTGTTGCATAATTTTATTGTAGCCCCAAAAATACAATATAAGTAAGACTTTCAAATGTAAAAATAAAAGTACAGTATAACCTCGATTATCCGGACCTCTATTATCCGGATTTTCGATTATCCGGATTGTTCAAAATAAACAAAAATTTTACGAATTTGCTGATTTGCACTTGGCGAATTATGATACTGTTTATGTACGTGATGAAATGAATAACTTTTTTGTTTCAACAACGTCTCACCCAGCACACTGGTCGTAAACTCTTAATGTCAACTAAACAAAACAGGATCAAAATCTACCTAATTGTCCTCCGTAATATTAAAACGGACTTTCTTACACTTTGCCACTTGCACTTCCCCTGTTTTTAACCTTCTCACTGAAATTTTAAATTTACTTAATTATTGCACCATTCTAGTTTTTACCTACTGTTACATTATTTAACCTAGTGTTGTTAAATAATGTGATATCCATATTTACCTATCAGATGGCATAGATATTTTGATATTTTTTTTAAAAATGTGACAGTTCTTGTATTTACTTTTAACCTTCAATTGAAGTTAGTCCATAATTTATGCCTCCCAGTGGTCAGAATGGATAACACTACTGAACACTACTAATCAAGCGGTCAAAGTGACAGCCTACCGCTCTGGAGGACCCGGGATCAGATCCGGACGGGTCAAATAATCCCCAGAAATTTTTCGGAGTGGTCCATTCGGATGTGTCTGACCTCGTACCTCGCCACCCTACTGTGGGCCTGACAGAATCCATAATGGGCTTGCAAAAAGTGGCCCTCTTAGTGCCCATAGGGTGAAAAGAGTTAAAAAAAGAAGGAACACTACTAATTGGTTGCGGGTTTTCGCCTAGCCAGTATACTTGCCGCTTGGAGTTTTCTTTACGTGTCCAAAATATAAATGAGGCTAGTTTCTCTTAGAAAGCACTCTTTGGCGGAAAAATGGCCCACCAGTGACCAAGCGATTCCGTTCCCTAAACACTGAGATTTCGGTCGTGAGTTCATGCCTCGTCAGGACGGTTTTTTTTTTTTTAAATTCTTCTCGCCCTGTGGGCACTAGGAGGGCCTCTTTTTGCAAGCCAATTATGGGTTCGGCCAGGCCCACAGTAGGGTGGCCGGGTGGTGAGGGACGGAGTCCGACATATCCAAACGGACCACCCCCGAAAAATTCCTGGGGATTTTTTGACCCGTTCGGATTCGAGCCCGGGTCCCCCAGAGCGGTAGGGTAGACCTTGACTGCTCGGCCATCCTGCCTCGTCAGGACGGGCTGGCCACGTGGAGTTTTCCGGGTTTTCTTCACGTCTGTAACGCCTGAATAGGGGCCAGTTACCCTTAAAATGACCCCTCGGAAAGCATTCCCCTAGGCAGATTGCCCGTGTTGCATTGCAGTAACAAAAACAAAAAATACTGCTGGCAGATCGCCCTGTGTTCGATACCTTATTCCGTAAATCCATAATTGATATTATATATATATCAAGGACGGATTTATGGATAGGGATCCTGGACATGGATTCTTTTTGTGAAGGCTAGGGCCTCCACAAAAAGAAAATAATGAAATAAAAAAGGAGACAGACGAAAGAAAAAAGTAAGAAATAATTCCGAAAACGAAATATCGCAGACAATATTTATATAATACTATGCAAATTTTAAGTAGAGAACGCTTAGTAAAATTTATTCCAGCTTTAGTCACTATATTGGCCTCCACGATTATGCGTGTTCTGGGGATCCTGTATATACATTACTTATATTATTGCATAATTATTTTATTATAGCATCTTAGTTCTTTATTGACAATTTGTATTTTTTGTATTATTTACACTTTCCATCCTTATTGTTAATTTCATTATTTATTTTAAGCGCAAAAATGACATTAAGGTTGTCAGACAGAACAAAATAATTATATATTTTATTCTTAACGAATCAAAACTTGAAATATCGTAAATAATATTTTATCGAAATATAAAAAACAATAATAAATTTTTCAGTCCTATCAAATTCACAGATTTTTGCCGCGAACAAAATAAGAGAAAATGACGATAAAAAACCTAATATTTATATTAATAATTTTAACTAATTATAGAAAAAAATAAGATGTTTATAAAATATTTTTGTTTAAAATATAAAATATTGAACTAAATTTATTTATTTAAAAAAAAATAAGTTATTTTTTTAAAATTTCCTTTTCTTCAATCGATCCGTCTTGATAAATTCTGATTATACTGCGAAGTATGGCATAATTTAAAATAAAAAGACGATAAACAAATAACATATTATTTATTTATTATTATTTTTTATTAATATTAGAAAATTGAATACGTAATTACGTAAACGTAGCAGAAGAAATCGTTTTAATTTTATTATTACGCGATCATTGACGAGGTTGAAGTGTAACGTCCATCTTGTTTTTATGAGCTTCGGATTTCATCGTTTGGTCAATCAAAATGGCGCCAAATTATCTTTTAAAAGTTAAAACGATTTGAAAGAAGATATTTAATGATAAATATGTTTTTATTCGATAATTTAAGAAGTTTTAATGAGGCCCGATTCGATCTTTATATACGATTACGTTAAGTGAGTATCGAAGATGAATTATTTACGTGTAACAGTTTACCCAGTTTTTTATGCTCAATTTTCGACAGATGTTACATATACTGGTAAATATTGGTATTAAGATGATTTAAAGCTTCTCCAGAATATATAAGTTGTATTATTTACATCCTTTTTTCTTTATGATGATAGGGAAGCCGTTGATGTCCATTCAAAGAAATTAAATCCGAAATGACATCTCCTACCAGACCCAAAAGGAAGTGTGAAATCTTTGAAGAGAAAGGTTTGTAATTATAGATCAATTTTCGGTACAAGTTACCTTTAGGTAATTCATACATATATACATCAATAAACATATTGTCTAAAAGTAACTTCTACACAATTTTCTTATTATAATATATAAAAACAGAAAATATAAAGTTTTCATATCATTTTGATTGTTATTAAAACATACATTTATTTAAAAAATACTAATGTTCACTCATAAATGAATTATTAACATTCATTTTTCTGTCTATTAATGCATATCTTAACTTTCATTCTGTCCTATCTCGCTTTATTTCATCTTCAACCTGAACCCTTCCTAAAACTTTTATTCTTCTTTCCTTTTCATGTTTCTTGGGCTATACCAAAGAGTGCGGTCAATAAACAATTCTCTAGTGTCTATTAATGCAGATTTCGATGACAGAAATAAATCCACATAGTAGCATTTTGATTTAATCAGTAAATATATTAATACAAGTTTTTAATGTAATAAATGATACTAAGTTTGCATGGCCTTTGCTTTTCGTCGGTATTAAATGGTATTTTAGAGAGTTTATTAAAGAAATGTTTTTAATTTCGAAATGAAATTAATGCATAAGTTTTTATCTGTAATTCATTTCATATTTATTCTCTTTATCCGTTTATAACCAGTTTCTGTAAAAGCACATTGAAAATAAAAATTTTTAATGGGTTTAATGTGATTGTTCATTTAGAGAATGAGAATAATTATAATTGATTTTAAACATATTTGTCTTCAATGAGTGATGGGGAGTTGGAATCTAACTTTTGTCATTTATTTTTCCAAGAAATGTTTAAAAACATATATGTACATTTCTGTTGTATACAATAGAACCAAATTATACAAGTCCCAATTAACTGAGATTCCACATTATCTGAGACAAACCTGAAGTAAACAGTTTTTCTTATAATCCATAACAACTTTGCCACGAATACACTGAGCTGATTAATTCTATAGTACTTTTAATTTCAATTGTACTGTGTGAGTGGCTGATACTAATGATTTTGTTTTTTTAAACCTGTTCTACTCTCTGGGCACTGAGAGAGCCTTTTTTTCCATGCCATGCTTGCAGTGAGGGTGATTGGGTAGTGATGGATGGAGCCTGACATATCTGGGATAGACTGCCTAAGAAAATTGATTCTGAAATTACTGCAGAGCATTGCAGTAATGAAGTAAAGAACTGCTAAAAAAGAAAAACTCTAAAAGACTTTTAAAAGTTTAAGTGATAACATTTATTACAAAATGACACCAACAAACCTTTATAATTAAACCAGCAAATAAAGTTTTTAATATACTTTGACAAGTGCTCTTGATCCTAATTGGGATCTGCTTCAGGTCAAAATGTTCTATACAAAAATTTGGAATGCTTAAAGAGCAATTTTAAATTTTAAAATTGCTGTAACAATTTTAAAATTATTAAATATTACAAAATGATTTATTTTCCATTTTATTTGAGTTTTAAGTTATCCAGTGTAGCATCATCCATGTTCCCTCATATATAATGATAGTTCTGCCAAGTTTCAATTTTATGATAATTTGATTTTAATATCATATTTAAAAACAAAAGACTGTTAGATTTTTTATGGGTTATACATAGACTAAATTAAAATTAGATAATACTAGTAACTTCAAGAGTTAATTATAGCTAATAGCTAGTAGGGGTTTTATGTTCACATTCTGTTCCAAGAAGACTTTTTCTAAGAAACAAATTTTTCTCTTTATTAGTTTTGCAGTAATCTAAAATATAATTATGGAAAATTATTTTTCTTTCATTATTTAATATCATATTAATAATTTTGATCTCTTAAATAAAGATGATATGCATATATATATAATAACATTATTTTAATGTAGATGAACAAGAAAATGAAAAAAATAAAATATATTTCAACTTTATTTTCCAACAATTTTGAAAGATTTTCTTTATAAAGTAATTAAAGTTTTGACATTGAATTTCTTATTTAGACAGAAAAAAATTTATAAGTTAAATACAGATTTTAAAAATGAACACAAAATATTAAATGAAGATTTATGAAATTTTTTATGAAAAAGAAATAAATTGTAAAATATTAAAAGGAAATATTTTTAAACAGATTGTTTATATTCAATATGCTACTATTAGTATTACAGTACAGTATTTAATATAATTTGAATATAATTATAAATAATGATGATATTAAAAAATTATTATAATATATTGATGTATTTTTAACTTTCAAACCTTCACTTAAATTCTACTGAGAATAAATAAAATTTGATTGTTTTATTAGGACAGAAATTTTAAAATTAGTGTCCAAATGCTTTTGTACACTCTGTTCATCTTCATGATTATACAACATAAAGAAACATTCATTAAAACAGTCTTGAATTTAGAAAAAAGTTTAGTGTTTTTACAGCTCTAACTCAAACTATCATTAAGCAAATGTAGTGAATCTAGTTGTTCTCATACTTTTTAAAGAGATATCCCTCTTTTTTGCAAAAAGTTATCGTACTCCTACATTTTCCCTAAAGATATATTGATTTATATTTTTATTTTATTTTAATAAAACTAAGGTCTCAATATTTTGATCAAAACAAAAGTAAACTAGACTATGCTAAATGAAATGACATGTTTTAGACATAGTCATTTCATTTAGCAGTAATGCAGTATTGCAAATTCTCTTCACCCTTCATAGAAAAAGTCCCATGTTTCACTAGGGAGGTGCACCCACAGTTTGAGAATCACTGGGTTAGTCTTTTACTACAAAACAACTACAAATTAATTTAATATTTTTAATAAGTATAAAAGATAAAGCTATGGTAGAAATGAAGCTTTTTATTAACTACATTAGAATTATTGCTTTTTGCCTATATTGGATTTAGCTCTGTAATTCTTTATTAGTTATGAAACAGGTTATTAAAATGATAATGAGAAATATTAATAGACAGTGATATTTCCGTATTATTCCATAACATTTTCATATTTTCTGTTAGAATGATGTCAGAGATGCACTGTTATCTTCTCTTTTCTTAATATGTTCACCAGTTGCTTAGCCAATCTTTTGTAATAACAACAACATTAATAATTAAAGTTCTCTGCTGTTATTGACTGTATCAAAAATGGAAATTGAACCTATCTCACATGCTAAAATTTATTGTCATTCCTGATTGAAAAATTTTGGGATTTTTTTAGGACTTATTTTGCTCACTATTTCAAATTTTTCTCAAAAACATGCTTCTAAAGAACTGATTATGATGAATCAAGATTCTGTAATTAATTTGAATATTTCTTTTCCTGAAGACTTGTTTAAAAGTTTTAATTCAGAATCAAACAGTTTTAACTAATCTATAAAAATAACTAAACTATACCATTTTGAGGTCTAGCCATCTCCAACTTTTTTTGAAAGTTTTACAACAAGATAAGTCAGTCAGAACAAAGGTCCATTTACAGACAACAGTAATGTGCCGGCACAGTGACCATCTCATCCGGCACAGCACAGTGATGAGTATTTACACACAACAGTGACTTGACCATGCTCTCGGTGAGTGATCATGAACTTTTCTGAGGATGAATTGGCTATGATAGCTATATGTGTGGATGAATAAGAAAAAAATGCAATCAAGAAAGTGCTGCAAGTGGATACATCAAGCATGGACAAAAATGATCAACAGAATGGGAGTTTCATATTCTTTATAAAAAATTAATAGATGACGAATCTATAGTTTTTGAATATTTTCGAATGACCCAACATGCATTTCATATTTTATTAAACAAAACAGAGAAATATTCATTTTGTACCCAATGTCCATGTATTTCGAATGAGATAAATCAAATAGAACAGGGTGTCGATGCTCCATTTCAATTAAATGTTTGTCATCCATTGGAAAACAAAATTTACCGTCAGTGAAAATATCGTCACGATGAAATGTACTTTCACGGTATGGTCACACCACTGCCACTGCATGGCACTGTGATGGACAAGTCTGGACAGGGTGGTTTCAAACTAGGTCAAAGATTTACCATTGGCAAAAAATCACTGCACTGAGTGGACACTTCACTGTTCTGTGTAAATGGACCCTAATCATAATTTATAGTTTACTGTTAAAAGGATAGCCAGGATTGCCTAAAAATGATGTTTTGCTGTAGAGTCAGTTTTCAAATTACAGAATTTTCTAGTGAATATTTCATTGTTATGTTGGTCTGGAAATAAAACAAATGTTTGAAATTTTTAGATTTTGTATTTTTTAATTTTTATTGCAATAAAACAATTTAGTAATATTTTTTAAGCTTTTATTTCATAATATGTCGGCTTCAGAGTCATAACACTTACTCAGAGCCAAACTATTGCCATAATGTATTGAGCTATTTTTCTGCTACTATTAATAATTAAATTTTAATTAATTTGGTATTAGAGATAAGTGTTAGATCCTATCTCTTATTAAATTTAATAATTATAATAAGTTAATATTTATTAAATAATTTAGACTATTCTGGAAGAAAAGAATCTGCCCAGAGCAGGACTCAAACTTGCAACTTCCTCTAACCATGTTGATGAATTGCTAGTTACACTACCCAGACACTGAGCAATTCTTTGCTTTAAGACATTTAATTTTTAATATAATCATCCACAGTTACTCATTTTGCTGACTGGGGATGACTCCTACACCCGCAGCCTTTATAGTTTTCCACTATGGCACTCAGTTGGCTATTGCTTTACCCTGCATGGTGTATATATTCATATACAGTGGGTGATCAGTTAATGAACAGTTCGGATAACAAACACTTCTGCAAAAGATTTTTATGATTGGACAACGAACACTTTACTGAACAAACATAAAAAGAAGTGATGGAAAATAACAAATACTAATTGATTTTCCCTTGTTTTCAGGTAACAATTCAAAATCTTTGAGCGCGGGAAATGTCAACATCAACACTCGACTCAATACCGATCAGATAGTATTAATATTCCTCTAAATTTTGAAACTCTCCCTTGTAACCTTGTAAAATTCCAGCTTTTTGT